AGATTATAGACGGCCGCGAGGGTGTTGTCCGACCTCCGATTCGGGATGTCCGTGTGCGAGGCGCGGTGGTCCACCAGCCGGACGGCGGCAAAACGTCACAGGCCGTGGAAAATAAAATTGCGAGCGCGGGAACAGCCCCGTTCGAAATTCGAAATTCGAATTTTCTCCGCGCGGAACGATGGTGTGGCGGCGCACAGGCGGAAGAGCACGTCGACTGGGGGACGAGCGCGCAGGCTTGACGTCGCGTTTCGTACTTCAGCGGCACCGCGCCGCCACCGTGTGTACTGTGTTCGTCACAGGCAAAACAAAGCGGCGTGTCTTCTCCTGCGCTCGCCACGTGCATGCGAGCGGCGCTTTCGTGGTTCCGGGACGGAGGACGAACGCTCCCATCGCGGTGTAAGTTTTGTCATCACGCCTGTCTTCCACACCTCGTCGTAGGCGTCTTCGATCGTCGCCGTGGATGTTCATTCGGGCAGGTGGGTGGCGGTGGACGTTGCTCTTTGTCGTGGACGTGCGCGAATGGAGGGATGCGATGGGGGTGGCCGTGCTGTGCTGTCGTGGACGGAGAGGACAGCTATCGCGGCGGCTGTCGTTGCCGTAGTCCGTCGATACGAAGCGGAGAGGGTGGCGGGCCGCATGAAGGCAGCGCTTTCTAGGCGGCGACACAGGCTTCTGCTGCAGAGGGTGTTGGACGCCCCAGACTGCATCACGACTTCGGAGGCCGTGGTTCAGCTGTGCGCTGCAATCGGCTCTGGTGTGCTTCCCAGGGCGTCGCCACGTTGGTGGATGAGGCGGAGAACTGGCGGGACTTGGGAGGATTTGCGGGTGTGCGATGACGCGACGGATGACTACTTCCGGGAAAAGCTCCGCATGTCGAGGAGAGTGTTCATGGAGATCACCGAAGCCTGTGCGCCTCATTTGCAACGACAGGTCACGTTTTACAGGGAGCCGCTTCAGCCGGATCAGATCGTCGCGTAAGCGCTGTATAGGTGGGCAACAGGAGAGTCGTACGACAACAACACATCATCGTTCGGCATTGGCAGAGCATCCGGAGTTCGAGCCGTGCGCGATGTGACAGCCGCGTTGTTGAGGGTCTACGGGGACAAGATATCGTGGCCGACGGGGGTGCGTAAACACGTGGTGCTTTGGGCATTTCAGGACAAGGGCTTTCCCAACTGCCATGGCGCAGTTGACTGCACACACATCTACGTGGACAAACCGGCGAACGCTCCGAGCGAGAACTACTTCGATCGCAAGCACCGTTTCTCTATCATTGCGCAGGTGGTGGTGGACCTGGATCTACGTGTGCTTGACGTCTTCGTTGACTACCCGGGCAGCTGCCACAACATTCGGGTGATCCAGCTGTCAAGTCTGTCGAAGCGCGCGGAAGAGGGAACGCTTTTTCGTGGGCCGCCTGTAACGCTACCAGGAGGAGTGAGGACGAACGGATACATCTTGGGCGACAACGGGTATCCTCCTTCAGAATGGATAGTGGTGCCGTACGGAGGAATCAATCAGCACCCGGGCGAGGAAAGGTTCGACAACAAACAGAAGGTCGCTAGAGGTGCTGTGGAGAGGGCGTTCGGGAGGTTGAAGGGGATGTGGAGGCTCTTCCTGCGGTCGCACAAGACGAACTTGGACACTCTGCCGCAGCAGTTCACGGCCGTCTGCATTCTCCACAACATCTTGCTTGATGCTGGAATCGAGTTCGACGAGAACTTTTTGTGGGAGGTCGACGAGAACGGGGTGAGGCGGCGAGTGGACCTGGGGATTCATCGCCCACTGCAGCCAGTGACGATGCTCACATCGACGGACGCCGCACACGCGCTCCGCAATGCCCTTGCGGAGCGAATGAAACACATCTGATCGTGCGTGTCGCGCCACTCTGCCTGTCGTGCACAGACAGAAGCCGTGTGCGTCCGTCGTCGAGTCGCAGCGCTTGCGTCATTCACGAATGCGCGCAGTTGGCTCGCAGGGTTTGCAGTGGCGGACGGCTCGTTTGTAGGTGTTTGTTGTTGTAGTCGACGGTAGTGTGCTTCTCCAGGTCGTGGGTGATCGGCAGTGAAGCGGGTCAATTGTCGCCGATGATCGGCAGTGACGTTGCTGTTTTTTTTTTCCGTTCTTCAGTGATGTAGTCCTTGCCGCGGCGGTGTTCCCGCACAAATCCGTGGGGGGGGGTTCGGTGCTTGTTGGGTGGCGGCGCGGAGAAGGTCGACACCCTTCTGTTTCGCATGTGCTTTGGATCGCTGGCAGGGTGCTGTCCATCTTTTGATGATACGTGTTTTCTGTCAACCACATGTAGCGTCTGTGATGCATATTGTCTGCAGTACTCGGCGTTCAGTTGATGTTGTTGGTGAAGCTTCGATGTTCAACTGACGATGACCACGTGTGTGGAATGAAATGTAATCAACAAACACTTTTCTCGTGATGGGTTCATATTTTGGTAAATGGTTGAGAACCCTCTTGTAATTTTGTCGATGGGTTCGTGCATTGTTTGTTTTCATTTTTTTTTTCCCTTCCCCTTTATATGTGCTTTTCAACATGAACAAAAGTTGTGGACGACATGGTGATGAGCAATAACAAGAGCATGAGAATAGAAGCTATGGACACGATTCAGACGATCATTAACGATTATCGTGCATGATAGACCCGCATACGACAGAAGAAAAGCAGCAGTGGCTGAGCAATAAGAAGCATACAGTCACATGACGTTCACACAGAAACAGAAATGATTGCATAAAATCCGTTGAAGTACATAAAAGTTGTGGCAGCGACCGACTTTTCTCCTACCTATCCACACTCCCTCCCCACTATACACCCTCCAACCGCGAACCACGAAGGACGAACCAATCCTGCCGTTTGCGCAGTGCTGCCACGTGTCACCCCCATGATTAACAAACCCTTTTGTGGAGCACGACCAGAAAGTGTGCTCCAATTCCTAAAAGACTAGAAAAAAAAAAAAACACAGGAGCTGCTCACAACACACGCAATACACAGCCATCTGCCGACGTGGCCACGTCGGTGGACCGCGCAGTCTTCGCCACCCTTATCGTTCGACGCGGTGAGAGATGTTTCCGCACCTCCACCTTGACAGACTGCTGCGCAGCACGTGGCACCTCACCTTTTCGCCACAACCCCCACCCCCAGCACCTGGCAACACCCGTCCCGCCTGTGCGCTACCGTGTCCACTTGAAGGCGCACGCTTCGTTCACTCGTCACCACCGTCGACGAAGCGCCGACGATGCGCACCAACCCGCTGCCACCTTTGGGCGAGATGACGTGTCACTTGCCATCATCTCCATCGTCATCCGCCGCGGGCCCGCTGCTGATCAACCCGTGTTTCGCGGCCTCCGCCGCGTTCTTCAGGGAAGCGTTGTGCCCGAGCGCCAACCCGCAATCGCACCATTCCGGAATGCATTGCGGGTAATCTCCCAGTGTGAGGTGGGCCTTCCCTAGACAATTGAGGACAAGGTTGGCGGAGTCCACCATGTGTCGGAGCCAGTTGAAGATGTACGACCCCGCCGCTATCATCGTCGGTTTCACGACCATGGACGCGTACGACCATGCCTCGTAATGCGATCGGTCGTCGTCACCTCCCATGCGCATGATCCACATGACCGCGCACAACAACGGTCGCAGACTGTCCGCCAGCCTGGACAACCTCTCCTGTTTTACGCGCCCGCCATCCGCCCACTGTCCGCACCACAGCGCATCAGTCCAGCACTCCGCCAGCAGAAGAACTGTCGCCTCCTGCCGCGCCGCCATGTCGTCGTCTTCCAGGTGGTCCTCTATCTTCACCCCCGCGAACCACAGAGGCACGTCCATCTTCATCGCCAACGTGTGGTAGACGAGTGCAGGGGATACCACTCTCGACCATTCCAAGGCCTGCCAAACTGCTCGTGCGAGGTCCGTGGCGAAATCGACGGTGATGTACGACTCTGCACGAGAGAAGCCAGTCGACCTCGACTGCAATTTAAAGATCCAACCATGGATGGTCCACAACACTACTCTCTCCACGCTGCGCGCTATGCGGAGAGCCGGATCACGCTGCGCCGGGTCGTCGATCTTGAAGCGCGGCACGTCATTTGGCGGCATGATGAGCATCGAAGGCGGCTCAGCTCCTGCGTCTCCGTTGGCGATGGCGACGAAGTAGTCGTTGCATTCGCCTACCGGCTCCCTCAGAGGTTTCCCGGGACCCTGACCCCAGAAAGCGTCGCAATCAACCCACAACTTTGCCTTCTCTTCCAGCTCGTCCTCCTTCGGCGCTCCCTTCCCCCTCGGCACAAGTGGACGGTCGTCGCCGTCATTGTCCTCCCGCTTTCTGTCTCTTCGACCATCGTCACGGCCAACGTCGTCGACCCCCCGCCTGTCTTTCGCACCTTCGACGACTCCAGCTTTAGGTGTGTGATCTGCCGCCGCCGTCCGACTGGGGCTGGCCGTCTCGTCGCCCTTTTGCGCGGGCGCCGTGTGCCCTCCCCCTGATGCCAACACGTGTTGCAGGGGGAGTGCCTGACGTGGCTGACCTTGGCGTGTCGCCGCCGAAAGTTGTCCCGCGACGCGCGCGCCCGTGACGACAACCCCTGCCGTGTTTGGGGTCCTTGGCACTGTCCTGGCAGCACCGCCAACAACGCTGCGTTTCACTGCTTGCAGCTGCTCCCTCGACACTCCATCCCTCCCGAAACCCAACCTCGCGACCCCTGCCGTCCCGTGCGCGTCCACCATAGCCACTTCGTCTGCGAGGAAGTCATCAGTTTGTGAGGAGCTGGCGTCATCGATGTGCTGCCTTTTCGACTTCGGTATGTGGCCTCTTCCTTTGTTGGTTTCCCCGCCGTCGCCCACCCCGCCCTCTTTCCTGCCCCTCGCCGAGGTGCCCCGTGGGGGCATCTGGTCCACAAATCGGAATCTACGACGACGTAAACGAAGGCTGCCTTCGACGAAAGAGCACACGGAAGAAGGACGCCTGACTGCTTACCAGTGCTTCGACGTGGACGGAGGACGGCGTGGATGATGCAGATGACGGGGCAGTGGTCGTGGAGCCGCGACGACGATGGCGTCCGAAATGGAGATCGTGGACGACAAAACACGTTGGCGGAGGAGCACGTCCACGAAGGATGACGTCGACGAAGGAGCACGTGGACGGAGGCGGCGTTCAAGTCCTTGAAGCGCGGCACGTGGGCAAAGAGGACAGTTGTCGCGACAGGAACGAGGGACCACTTGTTTGATGCGCAAGAAGGGGCATTGCCCGTGCAGCACGATGCGGGAGCGTGGAGCGGCGAAGCGGAGTTGCAGGCGCGCGACGACGAGCAGGTAGGCAGACGGTGCGAGAGGGAGCCGTGGCTAAGGAATCACTGCGGTACGGAATGGCAGGCGGAATGTCCTATTTCTACCTACTGCGATGTGAAAGTACACCATGGACATGAGTCCCCGTCCACTACAGCCCGCCCCTTCGTCGCTCGCCCATGGTCCATTTTCCTCCGCAGGAGCATGTCATCCCTTGCATGGCCAACATCGAAAGTGGGCGCGCAGAAGGACCCTGGCGGAGGTCGAAAAAGCCCGCCAAACCAATGACCCCCTCCCGCCCGAAAATCACACCCTTCTCCGAAACCCCCGGAGTTCGCCATCCATGCGTGCTGGCGACGCCTCACTACAGCAGTCATAATATTCTATAAGCAGACAACGTACTGTAACACCGAAGGACGCGCCGCGGGGCATGACAGCAATCACACCCATTCTACAATGAAATCATCAAATGAATGCATACTTCAAAAAAAAAGAAACTCGTGCGGCCAAAAAGCAACCAGCCGTCTGTACACAACCTGCACATCTCGTCACTGCAGCACGCAGGACAATAACGGAACGCGTGGGGGGGGGATGTTCAAATGTCACGATCGCTCGCGGATCGCTTTAGCAATCTCCATAAGTGGTTCGCACATCATCAAGTTCGCCTGATCGGCCTTAACGTAGTGTTCCTTCTGCACTTCAACCTCGCACTCCGGAATGTCGCACTGCCTAGTCAGAATTGAGCACTGTCTCTTGCTCGCGCTGTCCACGGTTGTCGCCATCAGACTCCCGTGCTCCTTCATCACGTCTGCAATCGTGTCGAAGGTCTGCTGCCTCCCATTCTTCCGTTTGCTGGCCCCGCCAACACCACCGCCGCTGATAGAATCCCTCGTGGACCCCTGATCGTCGTCCTGTCCATCCCCGCCCCCCTCACTACCGCCAGATTCAATCCGACCTCGGCGTGGGCCGGGCATTTGAACACCTCCAGTCGCACCGGTGTCGGCGAGATTGGTGGGGTGTATGGTGTGATCGCTCCTGGTCATCGCCGCCATCTCCAAATACACACGCTCATCCATCCGGAAATCGAACCCCCGCTCCTTCCTCTCGCCTGGCGTCAGTGTGAAGAAATTTGGCTTCCCCGATTCTCCCATAAACTTGTGCACGGTTTTGAATTGCTGGTACAGGTTGTGCCATTTCTTCTCGCAATCGACGGCCTTTCTACTCGTCACCCCCATCTGCACCAGCCTCTTCTCCACGTCGTCCCACTTCCATGTCTTCGTCTTCATCCTTCCCATGGTGTGCGCGAGGCCGGCAAGATGCGAATCCTGGTCTCTTTTTGCCCGGATGAGAGCAATCATGTGCTCCACGGTCCAAAAATCCCGGCTTTGCGATCCCTCGCCAGCCGACGCATCTTCCACACCCTTCTTCCCCCTCCGCCCTGTGCGCGTTTCCGGCAACTTTTTCGCGGCCCTTGACCCTCCCCGCTTTCTCCCTACTGGACGAATCTCCATCTCCTCGTCGTCCTCCTCGTCATCGTCACCGGCCCCGTCGTCCGCCTCGCAATCCTCCCCAACTGCACCATCTTCATCGCCCAATATATCGTCCGCCCCCACGGTAATCTTCGCCACCCCTCTCGTTATGCCGGCCGTGCTCGCCTCACGGGATTGTCGCCGATGATCATCCCAAAACTTTTGACCAACGACCTCCGTTGCTGACCACTCTTCGTTTGGGCGTCGTCCGTCCACTGTGCCGCCTGCCGGCGTCATTCTACACGGAACTGATCCGCCAGTCCGCGTTGTCACTAGAGCCGGTGTGTGGGTGGTGCCCGAAGCTGGGTTCATGATAACGGTGCGCGTCACCTTCTCGGCACTCCCGGACCTCAATCCGAAGCTGAGATCCACCAGTCCTGGGTCATAACCAGCCGGGGTACGCCCCTCCAGCAGATCAGTGTACGTCGGCGTCGATGCCTGCCTGTGCAGCTGGCTCCCCATCCAATCCTGAGTCGAACCGCTGCCCAGAGGAAGGGAAGAACATCGTAGGTTGTCGCCGTCATCGTCACTTGGAGGCAACGGTATCTCGTGGGACGGCAAGTGGCTGTACAGTGCGGGGTCGTACGGCCTCCTCACTGCTTCCGCACTTCTGCAGCGCTGACGTGACGACCCCGCAGCCCCAACGGACAACGTGGTCCTCGTTTGTACCCTCTCCATCTTCCTGGCTGTCTTCGACGTTCGCCGCGTCTGTTTCCTCCCTGGAATGCGCACGAGGCAGCAAATATGGAAGACGACAACGGCAAGGAGCAGCACAACGGCGAGCAGCAGCAAAGGCAGCCTGCGGTACAGGTCTGCCATGAACGACAGGGTAGTAGAAACAAAAGATGCACTCGCGCTGTGGCAAGCGCGGCGAACGGAGAAAAACGGTGCGAGAGGGAAGACGCCAATGAAAGAAATTGATGCAATCTCGCAGCTGGCTGCAAGAGGGTGCTTACAAAATACGTATTTTTCGACCGTTGTGGAGCACGCGGGAATGGCACGACCACTGCAGGAGCCGGCCGAAGACGTCCGATGCTCGCCACTGCACCTGCGTCGGGACACCCGACGAACCAACAGGGCCGTCCCGCGACGATCACCGCCAACGGTAAAACGACGAGGCCGTTACTCGACGTTTTGGACGCCCTTGCCTCGGGATGTCCGTCTTCCGCCTTCTGGACCACCTCTGGACCACTTTCGACCTCCGTTGCCCCTTCCTGACGCGCCGCCGACACCCCGATAATCGCGGATCCTCGGGCTCCAAAGGACCTCGCGAGGTCCCTTGAACCCGAGGACGATTTGGCTGGGAAATCCTCGGAGCCCGAGGATTTGTCCTCGGAGTGTTTTCACATTTCTGTTCCGAAAATCGGCTTCGAGGACGGGTGGAACGATGACGAAATCCTCGAAATCGCGTCCCCGAGGAGTGTCGAACGACGCCCATAGTCTGTTACGATTTCAGAATCACCACTATTACTATCATGATCCTTTTCATCAAACGCATGAGGGACGTTGAGCCCGGTTCTCAGCAAACTTTGGGTCGGCTACTCCAGGTGGACTGTGAGGACCCGGGCCTCAAATATTCTTTGTTGGTAATATCAGCCTTGGGCACTGGGCCCTTTTTGTTTGTTTTTTTTTTTGTTTTTTTTTGTTTTTTTTTTTTTAAATCTTTTTTCACAATTGGAGTGGCAGAGTAGAAACTTTTCTATGTCGAGGCGGACTCCATTTGGTGAATCGGCGCGCAGCAAGACCTGCCATAGCGAGTGCTCCGAAGAGAAGGTGAGAGACCGCAAAGGTGGAAAACCAAGATGATGGCGGTCTGCCAAACTCACTGCGACGGAAGCTGGCGTTTGAATTAACAACGACAAGGGACAGCAAGTACAGACAGTGGGCGTGGGGAGTATATCGCGATCCGCCCCCCTTGGGGCCCCGTGTTGGGAAACCAGCGCGGTGAGGGAGGCAGGTCGCCTATACACCTGCCACGTGTACTTGTCCGTCGTGCTCGCACCAGTTTTGTACAGCAGACCTGAGGGAATCGCTTCAAGACTCGAAGACCCCTCGCGAGGTTGGTGGCTTAAGATCGAAGCCCTGCTCCCGCTCTATTCCTTCCCCCCGACTGCCGCTTCCGATCTCGTCCCTCCTTCCGATCCCCTTCCTCCCCGCCCTCCGCGAATCCCGATCCCGTCGTTCCCAACCCCGCCCGTTCCTCCCCGCCCTCCGCGAACCCCATTCCCATCGATCCCGACATCGTCTCCACCCTGCCCACGCCACTCCCCTCCCTACTTCCGATCGTTCCTCCTACTTCCGATCCTGTTCCTCCCCGCCCTCCGCGAATCCCGATCCCGTTGTTCCCGACCCCGGCCGTTCCTCCCAGCCTCCCAAGTACCCCGATCCCGTCGATCCCGACATCGCCCCCGATCCTTCCCTTCCCCGCCTCCGATCACAGCCCCATCGGCCTTCTCTCTCCTCACCTCCAACCCCGTCCCTCCCCGACCTCCGCGAACCCCGATCCCGCTGATCCCGACCTTGCCCATTGAGCCCCGATCCGTGACCCCCCGATCCCATCGATCCCGACTCCCCGTCCCATCGATACCCCCCCCTCCCTACTTCCGATCCCGATTCCTCCAACTTCCGATCCCGTTCCTCCCCGCCCTCCGCGAATCCCGATCCCGTCGCTCCCGACCCCGGCCGTTCCTCCCACCTCCCCGCGAACCCCGATCCCGTCGATCCCGACATCGCCCCTCCCGTCCCGGAGCCCGACCCTTCCCTTCCCCGCCTCCGATCCCGACCCCCTCATCCCGACCCCGACTGATCGATACTCCCTTCTCCGCTTACTCCCCCATCTCCGGCCCCGTTCCCCCCCGACATCCACGATCCGAAATCCCGCTGCTCAACCCTCATCCCCGATCCACCCACGACTACTCCCCCCCCGCTCCCGATCCCGACCCTTACCGGGCTTGACCATGAACCCCCCCCCCGACCCATCTTGCCGACATCAACCTTGACCCTGTCTTTCCAGCCCCCGATCGATCCCGATCCAGACCCGCCCATCCTCAATTAATCCCCGATTGACCCCGATCCCGATCCCCGTCATCTACCCCGACCTCGATACCGACCCCGATCCCCTTACGCCCGCTGTCCCCCTAATTCAGCCCCCATTGCCTCTTCTCCTGAACGATCCTGCCCCCTCCCACTCAGGCTGGAAATAGGGAATTCGGCTACTTTGTACGATTGTGAAATAGCTCCAACCCTGCCTGCTTCCCCCTTCCTGACTCAACTCCCATTGCTTCTTCTCCTGATCGATCTTGTCCTCTCCCACTCAGGCTGGAACTAGTGAATCCGGCTACTTTGAGCGATCGTGCAACAGCTCCAACCCTGCTGGGTGTCCCCGCTCAGACTGACGGGAGTGAAGAACTCGTTATGCCACATCACGACACATTAGAATGGTAAGCAATAGTATGAAGCCCCGCGACCAGCGGGCACACAAAAGGCTGGATTCAATGCTACTGTACCGGGGGATAGTCAGACAATACGCGCAGAACTGTCTGGCTAGGGAAGGGGATCAGAGAAAGGTAGGCGATACGGGGGGGGATTAGGGGAAAGCTGCGGACAATAAGGGGGGGGATCAGCAGATAACAACCACCCAGTCCTCCCAAGGCACAGGGGAAAAAAGGGGCAACACGGGGAATGACACAGAAAAGGCACTCGCTTTGGAGGCTAAACAAGGCCTGTCTTCCCAGGATCCGACCGTCCATTCCTGGGCAGAGAAGGTGAAGGAACGACCTGCCCAAGCAAGCATTGCGGTCAGACGTAGGAAGGAGGGGACGAGCGGCAGGGGGGGGAGGAATGGAAGATCCCGACGGGGAACTTGACAACGGCAGGGGCGTTCTTCCTCTCTCGCCTCCTAGCCGCCCCGGAAAACAGGATTTTACAGCAAGGGGGCAGGCCAACCATTGTCTGAGCACTGCCTGACGAGGCAGTGAGAACTAGAGATCTCATTTATACTCACCATGCAAGTAACTGGACTTTCCACGACGACGCAGCTTTCAAATCTACAAATGATAAGGTTGGGTGGATCAGGGAACGGTTAGCTGCATTCAAAGGATCTCCTGCAAATGCACGCGAATGGTTCCTGATCCAACCAGCCTCGTCATCTGTTATCACAGTCCTCTGCGTATCAGAGGCGGACAAAAAAAAGATGGATGGATGGAGATCACTGCGGTGTGATAGATCAGAGGTCCGCATCTATCCATGGGCTCCCCCGAAACCGCAACGCCCTGAAGAGCGCAGGGAACAACTGATGAGAGAGCACTTCTGGATAGAATTCCGGCACATCCCGATTGAGATCCAGGCCGCCTTCGTCCAGGACATTGCCGAGAAATATGACATAATTGACTTCATTGACCCACTCCCCCCTCACGTGGCACRCAGGGACGACTACTTAATGTTGGYCGTCARCCTGGCTGACRAACATGTTTWTTCSATYGACGACGTGATTCCCTTCTGTGTGGGGGGTAGGCTGTACAGAGTCCACACCRCCCACAAACATAGACCCTGGTGCTTTAAGTGCCAGGCTTATGGACACCTTTACACAGACACTGCCTGTGGCCGACATCCCTCGCGCACAGCAAAACCCACAGGACGTCTGAGGAAGGACCCCTTCGAGGAAGCCAGGTGGAGGACGGTTGATCCTGGATATGAGGGGTGGGTGTACATAGACAAACCAGGGGGGACGGAGGGGACGTGGTGGGCTGGACATGGGAAGGGCGAGGGGATCCACAACCGGGTTCCCAACCACCATCCAACTGGGTCCCCCCCAAATCACTGGAATCGCACTTGCAACCCCCCCCCAAGGCAAAAAAACAGGGTGCTTGGATAGCAGTCGGCAACAAAAAGAAGGAATCCCCACAGAAGGAAGAGGTGGAGACAAAAAAAGGTGTCGGAGATCAGGGGAACCGCTTTGACTGTCTGGGTGATGGGGCGGACCCACTGCCACTCCAGGAGCCACAGAAAACCCAGGAGGAGGTCTCCGTTGACGAGGACCTGCCCAAAAAGGGGGATCAGCTATCGTCTGCACAGTCGAGCCTGCCGATTGAGGATAAGGGGACAAGTAGCCCGTCAGACACGCAGCCCATCTCAGTAACAGAGACGACAGAAGGGGGGAATGAGAGGGACAGGCTCCCGGGTACGAGGCTGAAGCAGCAAGCAAGGACCAAGACCCGACCACCGCACTTGCTGGAACATAGCCCACCACAAGCACAGAAGCCACACCCGCATCCCCCCCATCCTCAGCAAGAGGGGCAGGGCCATCAACAGCCCGATCAACTGGCCCCTGATTTCTGTTCAGACGCTTTTGGGGCGCAGCAAATGAACGTTGATACAACCCCCCCGCCGCCCGACGTAGAGATGGAAGAGTCCCCTACAGACCCGTCGGACCCAGATGCCCCCCCACAGGAAATGAGCTTGGACCAGAAAATCCAGGTGGTGGCAGACTGGATTCTAAAGCATCTCCAAACGGACTGCCCCCATGAAGGAGAAGAATACTGGGACAAATCTTACGTTGAGTTGGTCGCCCTCCTCAACAACAGCCCATCCCTAAGAACTGCGCTCACCACCGCCCCCCCCCCCCCATCTGACATGGGCTGAAGCATTTCAACGCATATTGGCCGTCGCCCGAGGACGATTTCACCCGCCTTCAGCACCGGAGCCAGCTGCTCCACCTGGACATGAATCCTCGAGCGTAGTGCCGAATAACGGAAAAGGAACAGCAGAGGAAGGGATGACCTCTCGAAGACTCAAAATTAGGCAGCTCATCGAAAGGGGCCTCTTCGAACCACCCCTCTCCAAACTGAATGGGTTGATGGTAATCCCTCTCAGGAAAGCAGAAGGGAAATGGGAGCTGGGACTCTCCCCGGTGGGGGATTACGGGGGGGTAACGATGCACGGCTGGGAATTCTCCCTCCACGAAAAGGACCGCACGGAAAGAGGAAAAGTTTTCTCCGACCAAATATCTACCTTCATCCCCAAACACTACTCCCCGGGTGCGAGGGCAGGACTCAGGTTTGAAACGTCCAATGAACAGATAGCGCGGAATGACTTGTACCTACTCTTTGACCCCAATAAAACCTCTGATCTAGGATGGTTTAGCCACAACGCTCTACTGGACCTGCAGTGTGCCAAGATTAAATCCAGCGACTTCTGGTCCGAAGACGATGTGTGTCGATGCCTGTGTCGCATAGCACGAGAAAAAGTATTACACCTGGACATATGGGATCTCAAACATTGGCACCCGGTATGACACACCCCGACGGACGGAGATCTCAAGAGCCAACACTAAGGTATTCATTAAACTAGAAATCAGAATAGGAAGAAATGGATGACCTAGACACGCTATACTGCCGGAACCCGGCATGGCGCAAATGCGTCGAATCGGCAGACGTGGACCTGCGCTCCATTAACGTTAATGGACTGGCATCATGTAAACCTGAAAAGCGCCAGGTCCCCTCCCCCTACGTGTATCAGCAGACTCTCCTCAATGCCACTAGGGACCAACGACATATCTCTAGGTGGCGGACCCCAAGCTTGCCGAGGAAGGTACATGAGGCCAATAGGGATTGAACCCAAGACCTCCTGAATGCCACTTGCGTGCCTTACCAACTGAGCTAGGCCTCTGCTTTTGTGACCGCCGCCTACTTACCACCAGTACGTTTTCTCACTAAGAGCATGCTCACAATAGGCCCTCAAACTCGCCAAATCACAAAATGAGCGGTCGGATCGAGTCCCTGTAAAGGAAGGACGAGATCTGGCTGCTTGTGACGTTCAACCTCACATGCCGTTCTGTTCTTCGGCCAGAGTGTTCGGTGACCGAACCCGAAAGTTTGGGACCGAACGCTAACAAGTGCCGAAACTCTCCGAACGTGAACATAAAAATATTTAAAAAAAAAAAAAAAAAAAAGTTCTCCAAAAAATCTGAAAATAATATATGTCATGTAAAATATAGGTATGCTCAAATTCGTAACCAAACTCGAGTTAAAACTCAAAAACCAAAAAACAAATTTTATTTTTATTTTTATTTTTTTGAATATGTTCGGCCGAACACGTTCGGGTGGCGTTCGGCCAAACACCCGAACATGTTCGGACGTTCGGAAAAGCTCCGGACATGTTCGGTGTGCTACACTGATGTTAAATATGCCTTGAAAGAACAACAAAATGTAGTGTGTCAAGGATTTTTGGAAATATTGAGTGTAGGGCCACAGACGGACCTGAAAGCCCCCGTGTGTTTCCATAGTTGCGCGGGAAAGAAATGGCGTGCAGCGCCGTGCACTACTTTCAAACATTCGCCTAATCCAAAAAGATCAGAGTGATAAATTGTGTTGAATAGGCCCTGAAAGAACAACAAAATGTAGTGTGTCAAGGATTTTTGGAAACTTTGAGTGTGGGGCCACAGACAGACCTGAAAGTCTCCGTGTGATTCCAGCTTTAGTGAGAAAGGACCATTGTGATAGTTGTGCGGGAAGAAATGGCGCGCACTACTTTGAAATGTTCACCTAATCCAAAAAGTATCTTTGAACCTCTATGCAAGCTACTCGCCGTCTTTTCGAACGGAAAGGCGGGGGTACACACTTTGGATCTCGTTTTCGAATCAAATCTCAGTGTCGCTTGTTACAGAGTTTGAAGTTCGACGTACACGGCCTCAGCCAGGTCACTGTTTCCTTGTATTCGTCTTCGCCATGTATACGGTAGTGGAACCTTTTTTTTTTATAATGCTCGATGTGGCGTCAACCGCTACACAGAGTGTTGGGTCAATGAGGCGCTACTCCCGTCCACGGGATGACAATCAGTACGTTAAAAGACAATAGTAAAGAGTACGGGGGAAAGTGGGTATCGATAATGACAAAACCAGCGC